ATATATATATATATATATATATAATATAAAATAATCAAAAAACAAAAGAAGCTATTCTTTAAATTTTTGGATGCCTTAATAAGTTATATTCTCTTGTTATTTATACTAATTATAAGATATTGGTTGTCATACTTGAGGAATTTTTAAGGGCAAAGCATAAGGTAGATAACAATTTTTTGTTCATTATACTTTTAAAAAATGATTAAATTAAGCTTTAGTAATAGTTATATTCTTTCACAAGTTAATTTTAAGTGTTTGTCTTCATTTTAAGGCTTTATATATGGTTCATATATATAAAAAAAAAACTATGTTATGTTGTGGCTTTTGGAATCAATTAATGACAAAGACTGGCCATTTCTATACATTTAAAAGTAAAATAAATTTCATATTTATTTTAAGAAATGTGTGATACCATACCTATGTACTATAATGGGGATGTCCCAATCCTCATAAATACAATGGAATATACTGTCTGGGGGTGGGAGATTCACTACTAGCAGTTGATTACTTACTACATACCGCTGGCAAATCTTGTATGTTGTTAATGTTAAAAAGATTACTGTTCCATTTCCAATTTTCATTTTGGTTATTCTTATTCAGTAACTTTTTCTAAGTTATGACATTGGTTCTCCCCATACATGTATCTTTCATTGATTCATGGTACATGCTTCATACAATGCTAACTGCAATGGATTACTGCAGATTTGACTCCTACTATCCGGATAAAGCTCACTATGGCATGTTTCTCAGTGGTGCAAATGCTCATTGGAATGTCCATACATTTAACCTCATTGCTTCCTGCCATTCAACTGAAGAATGGAATGCTGCATGTGGCTAGCTACTTGTCTTCCCATCTGCATGCATGCAGTTGCACATCAACACCTCCCTATTTGTTTTTACTGCATAATTTCAAAATTGCCTTTACTTTCTGATTGACCCTTGTACAAAAAATATGTCCATATTAAGATTCATTCCTTCCACTTATTTCACATTCATTTCTTTCTCTTTTACAAATGATGACAATGCATCATTACCATGTGAAAATTTTGGTTGCCTCTGATTTTAGTCATGTTAGAACTAGTATCCGCAACAGTACAAATAATGACATCTCGGTATATACTTTATATATTTGTGTTATATACTGTACCTATGAACACTAATGGGTATGTCCCAATCCTCATAAATACTTTGGACACTATTGTAATTGGGGGTGATATGCTGTATAAGTAGTCCACCACCAGCAGTGGTTTACCTACTTCACGTTGCTGGCGAGTATTGTATTTTGTTGATGTTATAAAGTTTACCATTTCATTTCAAACCTCTGTTTTGGTTATCCCTCATTCAGTAACCTTTCCTAGGGTACAACAATTTCCTTTTATCTCTTTTTATATTCTTCCTGTTTGGTTTTGCTAAGGTAATAAAATGTTGTTGTTAGATGCACAATATTGTTTGAAAATTAATTCTTATCTCCTGTTCAAGGAAACACACCATGAAATTGCAATACTATAGCTAGACTATCTCTCCCATAAAACATTTCATCAACAATAGTAACATTGCTACATATAACTGATAATCCCACAACATAAAATAACCCAAACTTGCTACAGAAATACTGATATAAGTCAACATATAAGTTTCACATTAGATTTAATAACAATGCTTTTGTCATTCCAAATTGATGTCTGCACCATGCTAGACAAGATTTCTGATTTGGAGTCTTTGCCTATGACCAGGGTCAGATTATGACCTTTTGAGGACCCTAGGCTAATGAACTTATGGGAGCCCCTCTCAGACAGCACCACCCTTAACTTGCCCACACCTGTCTTGAATATTTTTTACTCATGATATATTTTATTGACATTTAGATAGCCTGAAGTAAATTTATTGCAAATTCTTTAAATAAACTAGAATAGCTATCTTTTGTTTATCAATAAAAATATTCTTGAAAAAATACCGGTTTTAAGATTTATTGCAAACTAAATTAGTACACATTTCAACAAAACCGAAGTAAAAAAAAAAACATTTTTATAATCAGTATTATAACAATAAAACTAAAAATAAATATGGGTTTGTCATATTGATATCATTTCAGTTTATGAAATTATTTAGAAGTTACAACATTTAGAAAATTAAAATCACTTTTTTTATACTATTTACATTATTTGGACTATTGTCCTCATCTTTGTTGCCATATTCATCACTTGACAAATAAATAAATATGGTGACAAAGATGAGGACAATAGTCTGAATAATGTAAATAGTGTACATATTACCTCATCTCAGAAATATAGACAGATACTGAAAGGCCGAAACATTGTAATAAATATGGCAACAAAGATGAGGACAATAGTCTGAATAATGTAAATAGTGTACATAATACCTCATTTCAGAAATATAGACAGATACTGAAGGGCCGAAACATTGTAATAAATATGGCAACAAAGATGAGCACAATAGTCTGAATAATGTAAATAGTATACATAATACCTCATCTCGGAAATATAGACAGATACTGAAGGGCCGAAACATTGTAATAAATATGGCAAAAAAGATGAGGACAATAGATTGAATTATGTAAATAGTGTACATAATACCTCATCTCAGAAATATAGAGACACTTTTTTTATAAAAAGAAATTCTGATTTAAACATCCTGAACTAAAATCAAAATGTCATCGACTTGAAACACAATGTGAAACTAAAACATTCTTTTCCTTACTTTACTTCCCCCTTTATTTGTGATATATTTTAGTGACATTTTCATCTCTTGAAGTAAACTTATTGTACATTCTTTAAATAAACTAGAATAGCTACCTTTTGTTTATCAATAAAAATATTCTTGAAAAAAATACCAGTTCTACTCTTTAATGCAAACCAAATTAGCACATATTTCAACACAACTGTAGTAAAAAAACAAAAAAGATTTTTATAACCAGCACTATATCCAAACTTGTGGGGTCATCTACTGCAGCCTATACTTGCCTAAATAAGATAATCCAGTCCTGCCTATGACAACTTCGTCCTGGGTAAGACCTTAAACTACATCCACGTCCTGGGTAAGACTATAAACTATGTCCAGCAGCAAGGCCTCTGATCAGGAGGTTTTGAGGAGCATGTAACCACCTCTTAATTGCTAGTGTTCCCAGGTCCACCCTGACCCAGGTTGCTAGCACCTGTTAGGGTCCCAGCTATAGGCAAATAGTGAACTATTATCAGCAATACTTTTTTGAAAAGGTTATTACCAGCAATACAATTTTGAAGGAAAAATATTACCAGAAACAGATTTTTGACAAAACAAAATATTACCAGCAATAAAAAATTTTGTCAGCATTGAGTAGCCCATTGGGGTTGGTGTGTCGTGGGACAAAATAAACCAAACCAATTTAAACCAAAGAATACATACTCTATTTATACGAATCTATCCTAAAAATTTTGTCAGCATTAAATAACCTATTGAGGTTGATATACCGTAAAACAAAATAAACCAAACCAATCTAAACCAAAGAATACATATTCTATTCATACGAATTTATCCTAAAAATGTTGTCAGCATTAAATAACCTATTGAGGTTGATATGCCGTAAAACAAAATAAACCAAACCAATCTAAACCAAAGAATACATATTCTATTCATACGAATCTATCCTAAAAATCTTGTCGGCATTAAATAACCTATTGAGGTTGATATACCGTAAAACAAAATAAACTAAACCAAACCAAACCAAACCTATGACAACTGCACTCATATTACTTGAATCTGTATACCATTTGCAGTGGCTGTCCATTGTCTTTGATGTTATTATTAATATTATTGGTGTTGTTAGTCATCACTTTGGTCGTTTTTGTGCTTACAGCCTGAAATGAGTAGTAATAACTTATAAAATAAAATTCTTATTGATTTATATATTTTATTGAAATTATTATATAGATAAAACAATTGCCTCCCTTTGAAGGAGTTGTTATCACCAGCCCCTGGGATTGGCTGAAAGCAGCCTATCACGGCCTCTTTTTTACCTGTACCACCGACGTATCAACACAGACAAATTTAGCTCCATAAAACTCAACCAACAGCCACATGGTGTCCGGAAATGGAACATCCAACAACACAACGTAGGAATGAGGATATCCCAACAGTTACAGCAATGCATCCAAAAACTGAATACCTCTTCGACTTAAAGATGAAGATATTCTGATGTTACAACAATTTTTAGAAGAATTGTTAATCGAATGAACTTTGCTGCCACCAGTTAAGTCCTTGCAAAAACTACTGTTTTTTTACAATGATTTTGAAACCCATTTTTTCTATCTTCATTTTTTATTCTTCTTTCTGATATAAAAAGCCTTTTTTTCCACTCAAGTTTGGTGTTGTTCTGTTTTCTCTCTATCGCGTCAATGCTCTTTTCACCCTTATTTTCTACAGAGGACAAATTATTGGTCACAGAAATTCAAAGAGTATAAAAAGCCTCACAATTTGTTATAAAATATAAAATTAAAAATCAATTGAAATCCTTGTTCAGTTCTCTAAATTTGCCTTCCCATTTTAAATTAGAATATTTAAAAAAAAAAAAAAAAAAAAACGAGGAAATTATTTGCGAATGTTCGATGATTGTTGTTGAAAATTATTAAAAATCCTTATCCATTCAAAAATAGCATTTATTACGCCGGTCATTCATTCATTCATAAATAATTTTATGACATCAACGTGACGTCATATTTAAGAACCAATCATTTTTGGCTGCAACCAAGATCAGGGGGAGGTAACTACAGCTGATAGAATCAGTTGCTGTTGTGATTTGTTGCTGCGCTTGTTGAGTGCAGTCACTGTTTGCTTGTCTCTTCTTTCTTATCGCCATCCTCAGTGCTGCTGTGTGTATAAACAAATATCTGGGAGTTTGACTAGAGACTCTCCCTAGATCCACTACAATGTTATCAATGTCCATGGCTAAGGTAGCTACCCCGGGTAGCTACCGCATGGCTGTGATGTTGATAATGGTGGTAACAATGCTTCTGACTTCTTTTCCGAGTTCTGTAGAAGCAGCTGTTTCGACTTCGTTTTCATCCAATGCCGACTTTATCCATCATAATTATTCGGCTATGGTCGATCTTTTAAATGAAGTGAACAGCAAATGTCCCAGAATTACGCAAGTATACAATCCTCCGGGGCATTCGGTACAGAACAGGAATCTTACCGTTATAGAATTCAGTGACAATCCTGGACATCATACGCCAGGTAAGAAACTCTTATCCTCACATACAAAAAAAAAAAAAAAAAATCATTATTTTTTTTTTTTTTACTATTACTAAAAAAAATTTTTTTTATAAAATCTGTGATGATCGAATCGAATTTTTCTGTTTCAGTTTCAGAAAATATTTTTTCTTTAGTAAAGTTTATTGATCGTTTACTTGCTGTCTTTTCGTCTTAAATAAGAAAAGCATGGAATGAAGCTATATTGGTATCACTGAGCTAAAAAAAGAATACTCAATATTTCAAGTAATTCTTTTGGAGCAATGAGAAGTGCCGTAAAAAAAAAAAAAAAAGAAAAGAAAACATTTTCCAGTTCCTCTTCAGTCTTCAGTCACTGTGTTTTTTGGTGTTTCCAATGTCGTCAGTGTCAACAACTGTTTTACAAACATTTCTTTCTCTTTTTTTTTTTTTTTTTTTTAAATAAATAACATTTTTATCTTTAAACGTCAGTTTTGACGCAAATAAATAATAACTAAATTTCAAAATCGCAGAAATCGGAAACTGTCGCCTTTTTTTTCTTTGTTTGAGATGAGTGAAATTTCAGATCAAACAACGATCGTAATTCTCTACGACTCTTTCTTTGAGGCAGGTGAAAATATAAAAAAAAAACAAAAAAAAAAACTACCTGTAATTAATTTTACAACATATGGCGAAAAATGTGTACAGAAAATAGTAAAACAAATGTTGTAAACAATAGGTTTAGTTCAGTTTTGAATTGGTACACTTTTTAAAATGCAAAACTAAAAGACTAAAAAAAATTATTAAAAAGATCTCATCACAGTCTATCCTGTTTTTACTTTTTTTTAAAGTTAAGTTTCTTTTAAGTTTAATACTTAAAGAAGAAGTAATTATCTTGCTTGTTCATATCGCTGATTTGTTTTTAAATTATTTCTGTTTTTCTTTATTTTACTTTTTAATTTGATTACAATGAATGAAATCATCGTACAACTCGACAATACATTTCCTATTATTTTAAATGTGAAGAACCAATAATTTACCATATGCTAGAATTTTTTTCCCAGATTAATTTCGAAATGAAAAATTCTGTTGATATTAATGTCAATACCTTATTAACTTAAAAGTTTTAAGTTAATTAAAACTAAAAGTAAAAAAAAAAACAAACATACCGGATAAAAAAAAAAGGATGAAACAGAGGGCACTCCCTGCTTCTTGAAAAAATCGATATTATTTTCTTTTTTAATTTTCATTAACATTGTTGTTTATCTATTTTTCCTTTCTTCTGAAAGTAAATGAAAATTAAAAATGTATTTAATTTAAGAAAAAAGAAAAAGTTTTTTTTTTTTTTTTTTTTAAAAAAAAAAAAAAAGATGATCGTTTTTTTTTGTTTTTTTTTTACGTTTTCATTACTGGTGACAGCATCAACCAATTTGTCTTGCCTACACACAAAACAATTTTCATCAGTTATGTTAATTTATCCGCATCATCATCATCATCATCATATTTTTGTTGTACAGGTGAGAAACAACTGTGTTATGAAGAAATACCTTATTCAAGATGTTTGTTTTCGTTTGGACGTCATATGGATATCCTGAAGAAAAATTTAGTTTTAGTATTCATAAAAAAAAAAAAGATAAAAAAGAAATCGATCATCTTTCTTTATTGATAAAAAAAAGAAGCCATCATAAAATTGGTGTGGTTTTCAGATTCTTCGCAGTTTTTAGAACATTTTTCACTCAGGCATTAATTTCTTTTTGCGATTTCCCAACTGTTGAGTAAATTAGCAATAATTTTAGTATTTTGCATTTTTATTCTTCTTCTCCAAATAATTTGATATGTAAATTTGATAATCAATAAATTTTGACAAAATTTAGTTCTATTTTTACTTTTATATTTAAATTTAAATATTTCTAAAAGTACTTTTAATTTTGATTTTTATTAATTTGTCTTTTACTATTTCTAGTTTTATTTTTATTTTAAATTAATTAGAGAAGTACTTTTCATTTGTTTCACGATCGATTAATTGAACATTTTATTTTTTTTAAAAAGGTATTTCCACATAAAAATGAATAACTTTTTTTATTTATTTATTGCTGACTGGAATTTTAAATTTGAGTTTGAATGTTTTCCCTCCTGATGTTAAAAGTAAAAAACTGATTAATAAACCAACACAAAACGTCATTTTTATTTCTTTTTAGTTTTATTAATTCCTTTTTTAATTTTTATTATTTTTTTTTTAATGGATTAAAAAAAAATGTCTTCATTTTTTTTATCTTTTTGCAAATGAGAATCTCGAAGAAAAAGAATCAATTTATTTGCTTTTCTAAAGCAGCAGACAAAAATGAAAGTGAAAAACGTGTTCCTTTGTTATTATTTTAACAACTCTTACAATTAAATTTTAAGAGTCATTCATTCAGTTTCTCTTTTTACTTTAACATATGGAAGGAACGGTCTTCGATTCTTTGAATTCATCGTGACTCAGAGAGTTCTGACTAACCTTGAATCAAATCTCACAGAAAGGAAGGGGAAAATGCGGTAGGATTATAAAGGAAAAAAGAGGCTTTCATCCCCACAAAAAAAAGACTTTGGGGTTTTATCAAAAGCCAGCTGTCTGGAAATACAATTCCAATTGAAATACAATTCCAATTGATAAGAATTCTGATTGGCTTGTAGAAACTGCGCATCTGAAGAATCATGTCCTTCGTGTGGATGCTGTTAGTGTTATCCATATTCTTCAACGTTAAAATGAAATATTTATTTTGGTTTCAATTCTGAGAGTATCTATATTTGGTGAACTTAACATCAACCATATGGGGTATACCAAACTTAGCTTAATCTGACACAAGAACAAAATGTGGAGCACCATTGAGATTCAGTCATTTTCTCATTAGTAATAATGGTCTAACTGCTGTCCTGTCTCTTCCTGATGTTTAAAATTTTTAAGGCACATAATGAGGAAAGAGGGCTTGGAAAATCTGATACTCACAGGACAGATTCAAGACAAGAGACAGAGGAAAACAACGCATAACCTACTTCGGGATTTGGAGTAAATGGACGGCGGAACAGGAAGTTGTGGAGAGCCATAATCACCTACATCCTGAAGGGACACGGTACATGGAAGAAGCAGAACTGCTGTCCTAACTGCAAAGCACTTGGGAGCGGCAGGAATACCTGCCACATAATGCTAGAGAGTAGAGTGGCATCGTGCTAAAAAAGTGTCTTACCATTATTGTGGGAGGTATATCTGCCGGCACCACATGTATGTGTGTGTTTCAAACTTATTTTCTTGCCATGGATCATTGACACATATTTAATAAATTTAGTTTTTTAGTCTGACACAAGGTCAAAAATCTAGGAGCACTCTATGAGAAAGGAAATCACTTACACTTACAGAGTAATAATAATGGTCTGCTAGCTAGCATCAGTCAGTAACAATTTCCACAGTGTAACGCACTTTCTCTGTATGCGTGTGAGTTGAAAATATGGATGAAGAAATCTGTCAAACAAAAATATTAAGGAAAGGACAAGTTGGAAAATCACTGTTATTATTATTAAATTAAACGTTTTTTTGCCATTTATTTAACTTACTCAGAATTTTTTTTAGAAGTGGTGCATTCTAACACTGATCTCTCTATCTTTCTCTCTAGTTTAGTTCTGAAAAAAGACAGAAAAAGGAAAACTTTTCTTTATCGACACGTTTCGTCTTCTGATTTGCCTTGATAAAAGAAATATTCATCAGAAGACGAAACGCGTCGGTAAAGAAAGGTTTTATCCATTTTGGCTTTATTCATTTTGTCATTTTTTACAGGTATATTTTGAATTTTGAATTATATCTGAATTCATTCACACACACACACACTTTGTAGAAAAATCATAAATTTAACATATTTAGCTTCATCAGAATTTTTTTTATTTTTAAATAAATATCAAACCTGTCAATTTTATGAGTTTTATACTTGTTTCTTATTTAATCATATATTAGGTTGTCCAAAAAATTCGTTCGGTTTATTAAGTAATTTCCCTATTTAATAAACGAACGAACTTTTTGGCCAAATCAATAGTCAGAATGTGTGTGTGTATATATATATATATATATATAGATATATATATATATAATTATGAACTTGTCAGTATGTATGTATAGCTGTATGTATGTCTTGTACTAAAATTCTTACATTTAACAAGAAATTACATCATTTTCCTCAATACTTGCAATTAAATCTCCATATGTTTTATATTTCTGTTAGGAAAACTGATGAAAAAAAAAATGGCTTCTGTGGATTAATTATCTTATTCTTATCTCTTCTTAGCCTTTAGTTATTTTTCTTTTAGTTTTATCAAAAGTTCTTTGCCAAATTTTAAATCTGCCATATGTTTTTCCTCTGTCTAGCAACTGCAAATGGGAAAATAATTTTTTTTAAATTTTCCTTTTTTATATATCTTTTTCTTTTATAAAGAAAGAGAAAATAAAGTGTCACTAATGAGTACGTTAGTATTCAATTATTCAGTAAGGTAAGGATCTCTAAAAAAATATTTAATTTTGGTTCTACAAATTAGGATGTTATATTTTATTAAGAATTTTAAATTTACTCTCTATTCAGTTCATTGTTTTGGCAGAACAAATGAAAACTGTTTTTAAGACGATCTTGTTCTTAAAAACGAAACCATTTTTTTTGTCTTTTCTTCAGTTATTTCTACACAGCTGTTAGCTAACTATTATTGGATTTAATTAAAAGAACACTTTTCTATTTGGATTTAATAATTAATAAAACATTTCGATTTTACTACTAAACTCTTTACTTGCAAGAACTACGTTTTTTTAGTTTTAACTTTTAAATAAATCCCATATCCCTTATTATTATTTCATTATTTCAATTGTTTTTCTTCTATTCATTCTATAAATTCTATATTTTCAAGAAATCCTTTTTTTAGTTTTTATTTCTTTCATTCTTTTCATTATATATTCTCTCTATATACAATAAATACTGATTCATGTATAAAATTACTGTTAAGTATGAGTTCATTATTTATTTGTATTATACTAAATACTAAAAAAAGTAAGCTTGCTCAAAAATCATTTTTTTAATGGATATACTATTGTAATTTATTAGAAAATATCTTTTTGTGTCTCCTCCATTATTTTTACATGATTGGCAAAAGTATTTGGTTCTCTCATCTTCTGCAACATATTGTCTGTAAGTTTAAGAGTCATTGACATTTCAAGCTGTGACTGGATAATTGAGCTCTTTCATTGTTTTATTAACATTAAAAACATTTTCATCTCTCCATATCTGTGTAGAGAAGTTAAGTGTAGGCAAAAAGAAAAGAAAAAACATGCATATAGGATTGTATTTAAATTTTGTCCTGCCTACTGTTTTTAACAATGCCAATTTTGCATTGATTTATAAATTAAGAATATAGATATTTTAAGATTTACTATTTTCTGTAACCTAAAATTTAGACAGTTTTTAAAATTATTTCAATAAAGCTTTTTGCAATTGGGTAAAATTCAAATATTGACTTTTTAAAAGAATAATTTTAAAAAAATCCTAATAATCTATAATTTGTAGCTTTTTATTTTGGAATGAACAGTATGCAGATTGTTTCAAACACTGACAGATTTATATTGCATTTATATGCAATATCATAAAGGTCTTGATCTGGCAGCTCAACTCCAGTCAATTTCCCATCACTGTAAGGTTGCTTTTCTGTGTCTTTTCTATAAATACTTTTATGATAATTGTTCAAATTAGCTCTTTGCTATGGTACCTAAGGTTTTTTGAATTTAAGTGCAGCACTAGACTGGCGTTGAGATCTCATTGATTTACAATTGAGCTAGCTAGATGTAGCCATAAATTCTATGCTAATAGTTTCTTTTCTTGCACTTCTTGCCTGTGAAACTCCCTTCTGGCTCCATGCTTGCCAGCCAATTTTAATCTGCAAAAGTTTAAATGCAATGTCAATTGCTATCTACTTTTTATACTGATTACTCTCTTCTTTTTCTGCTCATCATTGAAGTTTCTGTTCTTAATTCTTCCACACTCTCTAACCCCTTGCATCTTAGTGGCTTTATTGCCTTGCTTGCAGTGATACCGATTAAAAAAAGTATTTGAAATAACTAACAGTTACTAGATTTTTCAATATTATCATTTTCTTTGTGTAAATGTTTCAAATATTTATTTTCAGGACATTGTTAAGTTACCAATTAAATGTTGGACTGCCTTGTTAATATTTTGCTGTTAAAAACTCAATCGTTCATAATGAAGAAAAAAACATGATGGCTAGACAGAAGTGAGAAAAAATAAAATGAAGTTTTATTTTCTAAAAATAAAAATATGTTAACAAAGTATAGAAATATGTTATGTTCCTTTTCTCTGACACTGTTAAAAGAAATTGCAAAGGCTATCTTTTCTCTCCAGTGTCTATGAAAACTCTGGTCTTCTGGTCAAAACAGGACTCTTCTGATTGGCTGTTAATGATCACGTGACTGGAAAATTGCAGGGCATAATAACTGGAGAGAGACGAAAATTATCCCCACAACTATTTTAATTTTTTCTATTTTCTGTCGCTTGCAATCGAAACAAATTTAAAGATTATTTCAATAAAATTTTTCTGTAATTTCAAATATTTCTTGTAAAAATGATGTTTATAATCTGTAGCTTTTAATTCAAATATGTATAATACACAGAAGAATGTTTTAAAATCTGGCAGTCTTATATTTTGTATAAATTATGAAAGTTTTAATTCTTTTTTTTAAACTTCCAGAGATTTACAGAAAAGGGTAAAATGAGGAATGAACAACATTTTGTACAATATAACAAATAATAAAGTCTTTGTAGGCGATCATAGCACTCCACAATTTCCTGTCATTTTTAGCACTTAATAAAGTTTGTCTTTTTTCTCTCCCCTTCTTTCCTTCAATCTGTCCTATGAGTGTTAAATTTTCCAAACCTTCTTTCTTCATTATGTGCCCTAAAAATCTAAGTATAAGTATCCCTTTTTGTTTCCATTTTCTTTTAAACCTTGTTGTTGCTCATGTGTCCAGACCATGGTATTCTCAGCATCCTTCTGTAGAACCACATTTCAGTTGCCTCAAGTCTCTTGTTCATCTATGAGGATATTGTCCAGCATTCCCAGTCATATTACATAATAGTTCATAATAGTGATATTGCACAATAGTTCAGTACTCTTTTCTTTGTTACTAACAAAATTTTCCTGTTTCTTAATACTTTGCTTAGTTTTTGGAAGGCATCTTTCACTATCCCAATGCAACTTTGGATTTCTTTGTCACATTCTTCCATCCTCTGTTAAAACACTTTCTAGATATTTTTGCACTTGTTTAATTTTGATATCTCCAATTTGTAATTTGTATGTTTGGGTGTCCATTTTGCTGACAACCATACATTGTCTTTTTACAATTAATGTTTAGTCCTTTATTCTTGCTTTCCTTTAATACCTTCTCTTGGAGTTCCTGTAGTTTCCTTTCTGTGTTTGCTAGCAACACTGTTATCTGCATATCTAATGTTGTTAAGATTATGGCTGCCAATAATGAATCTTGGTAGAACTTCTTTTAATTCTATAAGTTGCCACGACATATTATAATTGTCTTGTGGTTTGTTTGTTTTTCACCTTTACACACTGAGGTGTTTTGTAACGAATTTGAATTGCATGAATCTTCTTGTTTGCAAATGTATGCTGCATACTATTATCTCAGCCTTTTGTGTTTTTTTTCTGTGTGGTTTTCACTATGCTGATAGAAGATTCTCACATCTCAGGCTTAAGAACCATTTTCTAATACTCTGCTTTTTTTTATAATTTGACATTGCAATAATCTTTTTTTCTTCTTCTTTTCCACAATAAGTTAGTAATTTTCTCTTCTTAGTAATTACTTGGACTAGATAACTTGTCAAGGAGTGCATTTAGGCTGACATTGTTTATTGCAGTGAACTGGGCTAGTGCTACATGATGTCTTTAATTTAAGAGAATTTTGACAACTAACAGGACCAATGATATTATGTTTATATAAATATTTGCTAAAACTCCATACATAACAGTGATTATTAAAATAGTTCAATAGAAAATTTACTGAAAAGATTTACTGTTTTATAAATAAAAGGGAAGCTCTTTAAAAATAACTTACTGGGGTAAATATTTATTTCAACAGTTAAAATCATACAAATGTATGCATTCAGATTGATTGCACAGGAGTAGATTATTGGGAAGGTGGCCACAAGATCTATTGATTTGTTTCTTTATGGCTTATCAACACTTTGAAGATTAATTAGTCAGAAAATATTTTTAGATTGTAATAATTTATTTTTGAAATAATGATTTACTGATTAACCCATAGCTGAGGGGAAAATAGATGGATTCATACCTTTCCCATAAGTATCTGTGTGTAAGTGACTATAATGAGTCTAACTGGAATTGGAACTTAACTTTCCACTTTCAAATTCCAAGCTGTTATCCACTACACCACCTGCACATTCAAACTTGCCGTACCTGGTATTCCCAAGCAGTCTCCCATCTAGCTACTGACCAGGCTTGGTATTGCTTAACTTCAGAGATTGTACAAGAACTGGTGTTTCATCGCCATGAGATCTAATATTCTAATCTCGGTATTATTAATATTTATTTGACTTCTGCTATAACTTTTTATCGTCCTGGGTAAGACGATAAACTATGTCCAGAAGCAAGGCCTCTGATCAGGAGGTTTTGAGGAGCATTGAACAACCTCTTAATTGCTGGTGTTCCCAGGTCCACCCTGACTCAGGGTGGTAGCACCTGTTAGGGTCCCAGCTATGGGCAAATAGTTAACTATTACCAGCAATACTTTTTTGAAAAAATTATTACCATCAATACAATTTTGAAGGAAATATATTACCAGAAACAGATTTTTGACAAAACAAAATATTACCAACAATAAAAATTGTTGTCACCCAGTGAGGTTGATACACCGTAAAACAAAATAAACCAAATAAATAAATAAGTTTTTATCTAAAAAAGTGAGGAAAAATATAAAACCTTTTTTCCTTTGGCAAACTTTTGGTAAAGTTCACATTACATAAGAAGTAACAACATTCTTCTTCTATGTGCCATATCCCTTCAGGGCATTAGCAATCATGACTCTCCACAACTTCCTATCTCTTGTGGCCCTTAGCCCCATTGCATTTTCTACCATCTGTTCATACAAGTTCATCAGGTTTGCTGCCTCCTCCCTTTATATCTCTTGCCTTCAATATGCCCTGTAAGTGTTAAGTTTTCCAAGCCCTCCTTCCTCATTATTTGTCCAAGGAATTTTTCACTACCTTTTCCTGATTATGAATATAAGTTTTTTTTTGTTGACATTTTCTTTAAAACTTTCTTATTGCTTACTTGCTCTATCCATGGAATTCTCAGTATCCTTCTGTAGAATCACATTTTTGTTGCCTGTGATTTATCTACATCTGTAGTGAGATTGTCCAGCATTCACTGCCATACAGGAGTGCATATATCACATAGCAAATTTTCCAGTTTCTCAACACTTAGCTTTTTGGAATGCATGTTCTACTCATCAAATTCAAATTTCAGTGTTGCATTTTCCATCCTATGTTAAAACACTTCCCAGATATTTAAGCTTGATGTTGACATTTCTAATTTGTAACTTGCATCTTGGATTTAAAAAAAAAAAGGTGGGGCATAAGGGTTAATAATTTGTATCAATATCTCAGTTACATTCAAAGAGGTCAAGTCAGGGTAAGGTTGGGGTGTCTAAATTTAAAGCGGAAGATGACATCGTCTAGTCTGGTTAAGTTTCTAAATAATGAAAATTTATTAAACAATAGACATGAGTTAACAGTGTTTTGCCGACATCATCAAATTTTCGCATTGAATAATTAGCACAAAATAATAAATACAAATTTTAAATTTCAAAGTCTAAATAAAAAATGTCCTACCCCCCAAAAAAAACAACAACAAAAAAAACCCCTTTATGAAGTCGTCAAAAAACAAATGTTAACGAATTATGACAGTTATTTTTATATACACAAAACCCTTTCAGGAAAAAAAGTAAAATAAAAAAATAAATAAATCTCCATAGACACTTAACCAGACTAGACGATGTCATCTTCCGCTTTGAATTTAGACACCCCAACCTTACCCTGACTTGACCTCTTTGAATGTAACTGAGATATTGATACAAATTATTAACCCTTACGCTCCCCCGACTTTTTTTTTTAAATAATTGCTATAGCCGTTACCATAGTAATTTTAATAATGAATATGCTTATAAAACGCGTAAATTTCAAGAATTAGTTATTCCAAAAAAAATTTCGCTTGAAGATGGAACAGAGCTTGGTACTTTAATTTAATTCAAATAATTATATTGAAGTTTTCTGCTCTTGTTTTGAAACATGAGAACTCTTATGTAGCGATGGAATCATATTTTTTAAATAAATAATTATATTTAGGCTCTACTTTTGTATCGAGCACTGTTTTTTAAAAATAATAACAAAAATACTAAAGAACTTTGGATTATTTACCTAACAAGTTCTTTTCCTATTTTATATATATTTACACACACGCGCACGCACGCACACACACACACACACATATATATATATATATATATATATATATATATATATATATATATATATGTAACAGACGATAAATGTCTATTATGTCTGATCATGCGCCGCTCAAATTTTTGTTTTAATTTCTGGTGAAAATAAAGACAAAAATTGCCAACATTGGAATATTTCTTTAATAAGCTGATCCTTGATCTAAGTTTTGGCTCACATGAGCCATCTTCCGTTATCGTCGCCTAAGCAATCTTCTATGTCAACATAACCGAAAGCTTAGATCAAGGAACAGCTTAATGAAAAAAAATATCCAAATGTTGGACAATTTTTGTCTTTATTTTCACCGGAAATTAAAACAAAGACTCGAACGGCTCATGATCAGACATAATAGACATTCTGTTATCTTTATATTAATTATATATATATATATATATATATATATATATATATATATATATATATCATGCAACCATTGAAGACCTAATTTTGAAGCTAATTTGACTACAGTTTGACTACAGTAAATGGATATATAGTTTGGTCAATGGCGTAGCCAGGGCGAGCAGTACATACGCTAATTTTATATCACGTGTATGATGCGACCCCCTTAAAATTAGCTTCAAAATTAGGTCTTCAAAAGCTTTGTCTGTCCCGACCTTTTTTAGCATCTCTCGAGACTCAGACCACGTTTCTTGATTAATAGTTTCTAGTAGTAGTTCTGGAATTCTCCACAGATGACTTCGTTTGTAGTCAAATATGGTCTATCCAATTATGTGCCACTGTCAGTATGCCGATCTGTGATATCCCACAGTCATGTTCGTTGACGCGGCTAAAGTCTTTTTTTTTTTTAATCCAGCTTTTACAAAGCTAGAGCTTTCTTGTTAAGCAAGAAGTCCATCTCTGTCTTATCTCCAGTTACTTCGTCTCCCAATCTCACAACCCCATTTACTCTAGATTAAGCTGCCATCTGTACTGCTAATCTACTTTAAGTCAATGACGATAATCCGTATGAAACGGCCTAATTCGGTTTTTCAAATTGTATCACCACTTATATCCAATCACAGCCCCCGTCACTTTCCACTTTAGGTTTAGTAATAATTGGATCTAAAAATCCTTCATATTTGTGGATATTAGCGGTAGCCCCACTTAATCTGTCAAGACGCTGGCTGGGTTTATAGATTTACGAGATTTATTTCAATAGGAACGTGTGGTTTTGGGACAGCTACCTTGTGGTATAGTTCATAGGCCAACTGAAGATCTGGGTTGATCTGTAGCGGAGCCCTCGTGCGCTCCCGTATCACCAAAGGGTGATGAGCTCACAAGAGGCCCGCTAATATTTTCGAGACGTTAAATCTGACAAGGTGAAACAATATAGACGACAGAACAAGGATATATAGGATATAAGTCAATTTATTCTAGAAAGATAAAGAAATAGAGAAGGTCGGGATGCTAGAGATGGAGATGTTCCGGTGCAGGCATTGATGGTCAAGGTTGGTTGTTACAGGTGATGGCTGCTGGTCATGCAGTTGGTCGCTGCTGGTCGTTGCAGATGATCACTGTTGGTCGTTGCAGTTGATGTTGGTCGTGGCCGGGATGCCAACTTGACGTGTTGGGAAGGAAAGAAGAGCTGGCGTTGTTCGGGCATGTCACAGGTCCAGTGCAGGCGTTGCGTGTTACCGGTCGAGCCCGATATTAGTAACCTCCCGTGTTAATTACAAACGGGAAATGTTATGGACGACGTGCAGGCAACCAGTGGGGACGGAATGCCGAGCGTCAAACAGGGCCAAGGAGCCAGGAGTAGTAGGCGAAGGAGAGAGAGAAGGAAAGTTTCCAACTATCGTCAAGTTGGCAGACAAAAAAAATGGGAGCGTAACTTAATACGCAGCCCGGTGATCGACGTTCCTGGCCGCGAAGGCCAGGGGCCTGCGTATCCGACCGTTTCAGTCGCCGACCTCGAATTTAGCGAGAAGTCACTGTCTTGTGGTAAGAGAGACTAGCAAGAGAATTGGGTAAGCTAAGACAGTAAAGACTATAAAAAATAAGTTGAGATTAGCTAAAAGGAAGGCCTAAAAATGTCTAGAAGTATATTACGTGTAGGTTTGTAATATAAGTAAACTGAAACGATAACTTGCTAGTCTCTACCTCGGGTTAACAGCGTATAGAGAGCACAACCGAGAGGTCAAGGTCGAAATGACCTGTTTCTCTTCAGGTTTAAGGAGCCAAGGAGGAGGTAACTCCGACAGATCTCTCATAGTAGTTCTCGCTGGTTGGCGTGTCTCTACTGCTGCTGGCTGACGCTGACCGCTCAGCCTGACCGTGACAGGTCTTTTCCCTGGCGTCCTGTTGACTGCCGTTGTAATGCCGTGTGACCCCTTTTATGGCGTTTTTTTTATGGCTTGACAGGCTCGTAAAACGACGCGAATATAATTAGGATGGAAGCATTTTTATTGGTCGAAAAATAGAAACACTTTAAAATATTATTTTATTTTTCGACCGGAACTCGTGCGTCGGGAATATGCGTAAACGCGTAAATATGGTCATTTTGTGACGGGGCCTTGTCCCGTTCACATCCGGCTCTCGCTCTTGAGTATGCTAGTTTATTTGCCTGTAAATCAGCCGAGATATGTCTTATTTTATTTTATAACACACTGTACAGAACTATAAAGGGATAAGATAAAAAAAAAAAAACTTTCTCTTTTTTGCTCCGTAATGTAAAAGCGTTGAAATGAGTCTTTTCTTGTGGCCGACCAGGGGAAATTTGTATCATTTGGGCGGCCATATACTACATTTTAAGTCACACACACATACACATCTACCACACATTTCTTAATAGCGTAGCCGTAAATTTTTTTTTTAAATTCTTTTCCAGGTGTCTACCGCGAAAATAGACGAGGGATATTTTCTCTCTTGTATCGTTATTAATTATATAAAAATATATGAGAAATTCTTACACGTTAAAATTTATTCCTTCTGAAAATACTGAATTCCATTTTTTGGGAGTTCTCAACCTCAACCATGTTAATTACAACCCGTT